GAGAGAGAGCTCGTTGCTTTAGCAAAATACCAATGAGGTGATGATGTTGACTAGTCGACGACGAAGAGATGAGTCATTGCTGGTAACAACTGTTTTCGATTTTGGGGTGAAGTTCATTTACCCGGGGAAGAGTTTTTTGAACTGGTAACTGGACTCACTTTTCACTGATGGGGAATCTTCTCTAGATGAGGCATGATCGGAAAGACATGGAGATTGATCTAAATACACCAACTTTTCTAGCTTACCCTAGGGTAAAGGTTGTGGTAAACTTATCCTTACCTGCTCGTATGCCAGGGCTCTGTTGCTGTTGAGCTAGTTGTAAAAACTGTTGCTGTACTAAATTTGCATACAATTGTTGGAATCCTGGCGGGAACATCGGCAGCGACGGGAACACCGACGATGGTGATGATGATGGGACACAAAATGGGAACGGGAACACACCCGGGAGTCGGGCTTTCTCGGCTGTGTCCATCTAAATTAACAAGCCTAATCAACTACAGTATGCCGCGATCTTTACAGGACCACAAAAATTCGCGAAATAACAATAGCCCTGTTGTTCATATGCACAGAAGTTCTAATTTGGTGACTAGTCCACATTGTGGAGACATAACATCGAAATACACGAAAAATTGCCGTTAAAAGAGCAACAAAATGAGAAGCAAACAGTATTGCTATTTATAGTTGAAAAGTGAAAACAAATGACAGTTAGTTCAGTTCGCGAAAATGAAGGAGTCATCTAGGCCGAAGAATGTGTGGTATTTGAGGAAATTTTGAAGATGAAGAATTGACTGCAGAATGTGTCCAGGGCCAATTCTTTATAAGAAAATAGTCCAGCACCATTATTAATTCGTAATTCTTTTGAAATATTGAAAAATTCGAAACAGAGAACAGTTCGATGCTGCTAAACTAACCAATTGTTTTTTTTTTGAAAAAAGGATAAGATGATAAAAATTGTTTGCAACCTTTTCACTCAGGTAAAAATTTCCAAAAAAACTCGCTCAAAATATAGTAACTATACCAAATGTA